ACCACAATGATTTGCCTAGCTTCTGAAAACATTAACATACAATAAAGCATACAATGGTTGATGAACGATTTGCACAAACTTTTTGAAACCCAAATCTATCATGGATTATTTCATAGGCAGAGTCATGGCTGATTTGCAAATGATTTGTCACATTATCCATGGTCACTTGTCTATTTAACAGAATCGTTAACATGCATGCTCTATGTTGTCATCAGTCATGGATGGGTGTTTTCATATAACTGGAGTGTGGATAATCTTTTACTCATCCTCATGGATTTGACAAGGAATGTTTCTGCATATGCATTTACCTATGCTACAAATATATCTATAAACATAGCAGAGCATATAATGGGCAAAGTTTTGAAAACACTGTAACCAAACACCTTAATGGAATGAGCACTTGGGCCCAGGGGTCAACACTATAGTTTTGGGGACACTAAGGCCACTTGGCATAGCATAGTCAAAGATAATGTTCTACATCCTACTTTAATGAGTAGCAACTGGAGTCTTATGTGCAGTTATTGACCTCTCCCTACCTGGAGAAAAGGAGAGTCAAGAAAACCAAAGACATATGGAAAAATTAGTTCAGTGGGTTAATGGACCACATGAATCACAGCCTTCACAGCCCTAAGACCAGCAGAACTAGGTGGTGCCCAGCTTACATTACCAACTGCTCTGAAAGAGATCATGTTAGAAGATCCTACATAGAGTGGGAGTAAAATGTGGAACAAAACTCAGTATCATAAAAAAGATAAGGCTTACTGCTGGACAGAGACTGTGACATCCTCAAGACTGTGGCTTGTAGTCACCCTTCAAGCCTGGAACTGAACTCACTCTAGAGGCTCAATTGTCAGCCAAACTAAAACAGGTCTATAAGCTTTCTATTGTTATAATGTAAAGAACAAACTACAATGCCTCAAATGGAGAACATCAACCACTTGAGATCAAAAGGGCAGAATTTGCCTAAGGGCACAGTTCAGAAGGTAGGAGGGGTTAGAAATGAAGGAGGAATGAAAATGGGAAACATGGAGAACACGGGATAAGTGATATTCATCGTGAGGCTTGCAATCAATGACATGAAAGAAAATGTGCATGAATTGTTGACTGGAAAACTTAATTGTGATGTAAACTTTCACTCAATTCATAATAAAAAAAGTAAACAAGAAAAGAAGAAGT